TCCCACAGGGACAGTTCATAGCCAGAGCTTGGAGTGCAGGAGGAAACCGTGTTCTCCTTATGTGTCGCTTCTCACTCGAACTGTTTTAATGCTTTTATTCTTTTTATTCTTAAACCTGCAATCTGAAATTCACTCGTGCAGGTATTAACAAGCTGCTGATCACCCTGCCTCTCTTTTCTGCCCTTGTTCAGAGTCTCAGATTTACAGCTCTAGTTCAGGCTGGAATTACTGACACTGTAATGATCTGTTTTATCTCTCTATCTATTATTTGTCAAATAATTTTAACATGACTGTGCTTACAAGTGCTGTCAGATATCCTCCAAACAGAGAGGAAGATGAGAAGTCATTGGCCTTTTCAAGTGTGACCCTGGTCGTGTTGCTTTGTTTCCAGGACTCAACAAAAATGACCTTTCCCATTGCCTGTCAAGTTGTGACCCAGGTGTGAGGGTTTGAGAGCCCCAGGAGCCAGACAAGGCACATTTCAGTCCTGCTGGTTTGCTCTTGTTTTCTCCATTAACAGATACTGGGCTGAAAACCGGGGAGGGGAAGGGAAAGAGGTTGAGGGCAAGGTAAGCAATGCTGCCTCGCTGCCTGTTTCTGATCCTCAGGTTACAGCACAAGCTAAATAGACTACACTAAATTTTTTAGGCTGTTTTCACAGACTTACAGACTTTGATCCCCAGCTTTGATTTCCCAGGCGGCACCTGGGAAATCAGAACCAGCAGAGCTCTGGTTCTGAGCAGAGGAGAGACCCATTAAGCCTGGTGATTATCATGCCTTTGCACCAGCAGCGGGGCTTTCATCAGAGCTGAGCTCTGCAGCCTGGGCCCCTGTGCCAGGGAGGTGCCAGGGCAGGAGGAGCGCTGTGCCAGCGCCCAGGCAGGGGCAGCCCCTCCAGCCCACTCCCTTCCACACCTCTGCTTGCTCCTTCCCCACCTGGCTTCAGCAGCATGCCCAGGAGAGGAGGTGACCCTTTCTTTCCCAAGGTCTCATGCAGTTTCTGCAGCAAGCAGGCCATGAAATAAATATTCTGCATGTGTCCTTGTCAGAGCAGTAGAGATGAGGGCATTTGCCTGCCTGCCCTGCTCTGTGCCTCCAAGTCTCCCTCTGCACCACTTGGCTTGCTTTCTTTCTTTTTTTTTTTTTTTAATTTAAATCTAATTTTGCTGCCTTATTGTAAGTTCCCACCTAACTCCAGAGCTGCTGTCGCCTCAGGGCTGTGTTGCCGCTTTTCAGTCTTCCCACACCCATCGCATGTGCAGTCTGCAAAAACTTTGAGAAGTCTCTCCTAAATTTGTGCACTTGGGGTCGTCCTAGGAGGAGTGGAACAGGGGGAGCTCTTCAAGAACCCCTTCATCTGCAAAGTGGGAGCTGCTTCCATGCCGTGAGTTGTCAGTGGCAATGGCACAGAGTGCTGGCAGCATGGCTGGGAGGCACAAGGAGCTCAGATGTGCAGGGAGAGGATCTGGAGGGGATCTGGAGGGGATGTGCTGTGACCCCACAGCCAGGCTGGGCCCCCCTGGATAATCTGGGGCTGTTTAGCACACAGGGGTCTCTTTTGGGAAGCTGCGTGGGGCTTGTGTTGCGTCCCTGTTCCTCACCCGGGACAGGGGCTGGTCAATCCCATCAGTGCAGCACACCCGAATCTGTGCCACCACTGCAGCATTATGGGATGTCACCATAGGCTGGCCCAGCCTCAGACTCCTTTTTCAGTGAATTTTGTTGCAGGTGCCACCATCCTGTCTCCATTAGCAGATTAGCACAGTTGAATTTCCCATGCGAGCGCTCCACAGTCTGTCTCATTGTGTTTATTTTGTTCAGGCTGCTTTTCCCTGGGCTTGACAGTGTAATTTGTACAGATCTCTGCTGAGTTTTCCAAACCTTCAAAAGAGCTTTTTTTGTTAGCTTGAAACCAGGGCCATTGATAGCAGAGAAAGAGCAACAGGAGCATTGAGAAGCGAGCGGCACACCCACCAGCCTGGAAGGCTCCCTCACCTCCAGAGCTGCTCCTTGGCAAAAGCTCCATGGTTCAGAGATTTTAATTAGATCAAATCCTCCAGGTGACCAGCCAAGCATTGAAGGCATACCAATTTCTCAGTTGTGTCTCTTGCTGTAAGAGTTTTTATTATTTATTTTAGAGAGATGTGACAAAAGAGCTTGGATATCCCAAATGTGCCATTCTCCTTGAATGGCACCAGGAGGTCCCCAGCCCAGGGGATTGTCCTTTCAGTGCACTTTTACTCAGCAAAGTGCCTTCCTGCAAGCTGCTCCTGCACCTGCCCTGGTCTCTATTGCCCAGAGGGACTTGCACGTGAAACGGGATCGGATTTTTGGACCACTTGCTGTTGGGGCCATGGCTGTGGCTGCAGGTTGGGCTGGAGTTGAATGAGAGCCCTGGTTGTGAGCTGGGGCAAGTGGCCTTGGGCCCAGGAGTGGCCTGGGGACAGCTGAAGTTTTAGGGCTTGTGCTGTTTGCCCCTTCTGACTGCCCAGATCCGTGCCCAGCCCGTTCAGAGATGCCATCGATGGCTCAACATACTGGGGTGGAAAATCGCATCCTGTTTTTGCAGGAGGAGGCTCTGCTGCCCCTCCTGGCATGGGGAGGCTGGGGATGGACAGGGTAGATGTGTCAGGTCCCAGCTGACCCAGCAGAAGCTGGTTTGCTTTCAGGGATGCTGTGGGGCTGGTACATGGGGGTCTGAGAATTGCTCTGCCAAAATCTAATCTGCAGGAGGATCCCGGAGCTCCTGGGTTTGTTCTTTCTCCCTCCTGCCCTGTCTGGGCAGCTGACAGATGCCCCCACCTCGGCAGGGTGCCTGTGCCATGGCTGTGCCTGGATGTCTCTGCAGCAGGCGGGTGAGGAAGGAGAAATCAAAGGTGGCTTTCAGCAAACCCCCTTTTCCTCCCCTGAGGTATTGCCAGCTGGGAAGCCCCACACCAGATCTGCTCTGAACCATGGTTTTAACTCCAAGCTGCTGCTTGCCCAGCTCCATTTGTCTCTGATTTTGTTTCTTTATGACCCTGCCTGCCTCTGTCTGTCTTATTTCAGGGAGGGGCTGGGCCGTGGCTGCTTGTCTTGGTTTGAAAATGCCAGGTGTCTGCTAAGGAAGGCAGAAACCTCTCCCCCAAAAAATAAAAATGTAAACTACCCCTCTCCCCTTCAAAATATTATAATCTTGAAATCCAGGTGCTCTCAGGCAAAAATATGGAAATAGGAATAACAGTTCTTTACTAAGGAAATTAAAATAAAAATGCAGTAGTACTAAAAAGAAAACCAACAAAAACCAACCCCCTGACAGAGTCAGAACCTGACAGCTGTTGGGCAGGGTGTTGGGAGCACTTTGGTTAAATGGTGGCTGCAGTCCCTGCAGTGTCAGGTGTGGTGCTGCTGGAGCAGAGATCCCATAGAAGGGTGTAGGTTTCCTCTGAAGGTCCAGTGCTGTAGCTGGGTCTCTCAGATTGTGTCCAGGTGGGAATGCTTGGCTCCTCCCCTGGGTGGAGCATCTCCCAGTGGGATGATGTCATTTTATCAGTCCTGCAGCCAGACTCGAGGGCCCATTGACAGAGGGGATCCCCTGGAGGGAGGATGGGTGGTGGGGGAGATGAAGAGCACTGCCACAGCTGCTGACAGAACACAGGTTTTGGTTACATCTCGCACTGCAACCCAAGCGCTGCTGCAGCAGCTCCCTGGGAGCAGTGAGAGCTGTGGCTGAGGTGCTGCAGCAGGGGCAGGGACCTCTGGCATAGGGCAATTGTTGCTCAGACAGCTGGCACGCTGAGCCCTGACTGCGAAAGCCCTGCCAAGGAGAGAGCCTGGAGCCTCCAACACTTCCACTGCCTTCCCAGGCACGTCAGAAGTGGGCTTGCAATGTGCCAGCATGGATGGGGGCATGGTCTGTCTGTGTGTCTGTGTGTCTGTCTGTCCCTGGGCAGCTGCTGGCATCCTGATCTGAGGTTTCAGCCTGTCCTGGCAGGCAGAAGGGTGCATTTATCCACAGTAGTCCTTGGAGAGGAGCTCTTGCTGTGGGAGGTGTGTGGGTGATCAGCACGCTCGCAGCAAGTGAGGGGAGGGGGAAGCAGGAACTGGAATATGGAGGCTGCTCAGGAGTGGGTGTGATGTGGAGTGAGAGGATTCATGGAGCCACAGGGGAGGGCTCCTTGCCAGGGGAAGCCAGGTGGGATGGGGGGTGTGGTGGGAAGGCCCAGGTGACCCAGTGTGCCCTCCCCACCCCTGCTGCCTTCACTTCAGGGGTGTTTGAGGTGGCTGCAGGGTTTGTACCTTCTCCAAAACCATGAGCCAGGACTGGTGGGACCTGGGGGATTTTCTTTTGGATCAGGCTGTTCATGTCCACTGTGGGGTGGAAATAGAATTAAATAGAATCATTGAAGTTGGAAAACCCCTCCCAGCCCATGGAGTCCCAGCTGTGCCCCATCCCCACCCTGTCCCCAGCCCAGAGCACTCAGTGCCACCTCCAGCCCTTCCTGGGACACCTCCAGGGATGGGCACTCCAAACCTCCCTGGGCAGTTCCAATCTCTGAGCTCCCTTTCCATGGGGAAATTCCTGCTGCTGTCCACCCTGAGCCTGTCCTGGCCCAGCCTGAGGCCGTTCCCTCTCCTCCTGTCCCAGTTCCCTGGCAGCACAGCCCGACCCCCCGGCTGTCCCCTCCTGGCAGGGACTTGTGCAGAGCCAGAAGGGCCCCCTGAGCCTCCTTTTCTCCAGGCTGAGCCCCTTTCCAGCTCCCTCAGCCTCTCCTGGGGCTCCAGCCCCTTCCCAGCTCCGTTCCCTGCCCTGGACACGCTCCAGCCCCTCCAGGGCTCTCTGGCCATGAGGGACCAGAACTGGACACAGCCCTCAGGGGCCTCAGCAGGGCCAGCACAGGGGACGGGCACTGTCCTGGCCCTGCTGCCACCCCAGGGCTGGCACAAGCCGGAGCAGGGTCCCTCCCTCCTTGCCCTGCCCCTCTCCATTGGTGACCTGCCTTTTGCTTTCATCTCTGCAGCAACCCCAGAGTGCAGATTGAAGCCATCGAGGGTGGTGCCCTGCAGAAGCTCCTGGTTATCCTGGCCACAGAACAGCCCCTGGCTGTCAGGAAGAAGGTGAGGAGTGGGGCTGCACCTCTGGGTTTGTGCTGAGTTCTGCAAAAACACCTCCAGGATATCAGGGACATCTGAAGAGTGTGGGACCCCCTCTGCTCCCCTCGCTGGCTGGGTTTCACTCCCAGGGGAGCAGGAGGGGGGGCCCTGGATGCCAAACCAGCCCAGCAGCACTGGAGCCCTCACCCCCCTGCCTCTGGGGGTGACCCCCAGTGCCCACAGTGGCTCTCACGGGCACAGGGCTGCAGCTCCTGGGGGCACAGCGAGGGTCCCTGTGGCAGCACAGCCATCACAGGCTGACAAACACAGGAGCTGACGTTTGGAGGAGCTAATTGCTGCAGCCAGCCCCGTGTCCTGCCTTTGGCAGAGGCTTTGGAACAAGGAGCAGCACCGAGAGCCCCCAGCCAAATGTGCAGCGCTGTCCATCGGGCTGGGGGCTTCCTTGCCCTCTCCCCCCCTCTCTCCCTGCCTTCCCTGCTGTATTCCCTGGAGCATGAGATCCCATTACCTTCACTTTGGCCTGTGGTGCCACCTCTGTAACATCACCTGGCTGCTCCCAAGCCCCCAGCCCTGTTTCCCACAGGAACCTCCTGCACGAGGGGTCTGGCACGGTGGGGGGACTGCTGGCTCTTCCATTCACCTGTAATGAGCTCCTTAAAATGTGTTCCCCTTTAACTCTCTGGTGAGAGTCCTCCAGCAAGTGAAAGGCACAGGAGAAGGCTGTGGAACCCTCTTGCATTTGGCCATGGGTGTGAGATCCCACTGGATACTCCAGGCTCAGAAACTCCTCCCAGGAGTGCCTGTGGCTCAACCTTTAGCTCCTTTTGGGCTGGGGAGGGATGGCTGGACGTGCAGGGGCTCTCACAGCACTGCAGTGAATCCTTTACAGTGAATCTGAGTGCACCGTGCTGGCAGCCCCTGGAGAAGGGAGAGGGGTGCGCTCAGAATTGCCCACTCCACACACAGCTGTACGAGACCCTCCAAGGGCTGAACCCTCTTTTCCAGGAGGTCAGAGGTTTTCATTTCCAGCTCCTGTGCTGTGTACAGTGTCCTGTGTGTCCAGACTGGATCCCCAGGGCAGCCCCAGCCCCTTCCTGCACAGGGCAGCAGCCCCAGGCTCCTGCTGCCGTGGATTTTCCGCCCCGGTGCTCAGAGCCCTGCACGGCAGCGAGGCCAAAAGTGCATTCCTTCCCTCCGCCTTCCTCTGGCCCACGATTAAAAAGGGAGACAGCAGCATCAAAAATGCACCAGCAGCAACGCGGAGAATGGAAATAGGAAGGAATGGGAGCGGGGAGGACGCGGCTGTCAGCTCAGATCTGTCCGTGTGGAGCGGGCACGGCCCAGCCCGTGTGTGAGGAACACGGTGTGTGCCCTGCCCCAGGCCAGCCTGTGCCACCACAGCTGCCAGAGCCACCCAGGCTGGTCCCCAGTTGTCCCCTGGCTCCAAGCCAAGCCCCGGGCTCCGCTGGCTGCTGGCTGTTGGCACGTGGGGCTGCACCCTGCCAGGACCTGGGTGCTGGGGGACATCGTGGCCTTGTCCCCTGACTGTGCAGGTGTGGGGACATCACCCCTGACATCCAGACCATTCATAGGGGTCAGGCTGTGCTGGGTGGTGCTGGACACTCCTCACCCCATCCTGTGGGCTCGGTGCCTGTGTGGTGGTGAGCAGGGGGAACTGATGGGGTTGGGTCTGTCAGGGGCTGCCCCAGTGACAGCCCAGCCTGGGTTTGGATGGAAGCACCCAAGGTCTGGCAGCCTTACAGTGCTGGGGAGGGTTGGGATTGCAAACAGGACTGCTGGACATGTCCCTCAGCAAGGAGAGGTTGGGATGCATTCTCCATGGAGCTCTGCAGATGGGCTGGGCATTTCTGCTGTCCCCACTACTGCCATGAAGAGGGGCTGTGCCACATGGGGTGGCCATGGCTACCGTCCTCATTGGCCTCTCTCTCTCCACCAGGCTCTCTTTGCTCTGTCCTCCATGCTGAGGCACTTCCCCTATGCCCAGCAGCAGTTCCTCAAGCTGGGCGGCCTCCAGGTGCTCAGGAGCCTCTTCAGGCAGAAGGGGATGGAGCCCCTCCACGTCCGTGTGGTGACGCTGCTCTACGACCTCATCATGGAGAAGGTGAGAGCTGGGATGGCACCTGGGCAGACACTCCCACCTTCACCCCCAAACCCAGCCAGGCCTGAACATCCTCACGGGACGAGGATGAGGAGGAACCAGCCCAGCATCAGTGGGGATGAGTCCCCTGCAGCCCCTTGCCCAACACCACACGAGTGCCTGGGGGAGCCCAGAGAAGCTGAAACCTTTGTTTGCCTTCAAGCCAGTGCCACCATTCCCTCCCAAGGGTGTTTAAACAGCAGGACACGAGTAGGGAATGCTGGCCTTGGGCTGTGGTGCCCAGCCAAGGCCAGGGGACAGGCCAGCCCTGCTGTGTCCCTTTGCCTGCTGCACGTCCCTCGCTGGAGCCCAGCCCGCCACATTCTCCGTTTTATTTTCAAATACCCTGGATTACTGCTGTAAGTGTCAGTTTAAAGCCTGTCTTTCCTTGCCATGGCTTGTTGTTCAGTCTGTGCATTTCCCTGACTCCAGAGAATGGGAATTAAATCCACTCTGGCTCAGTTTATGGCCAATTTGCCCTGCGGATTATGGCTGCTCTAATACCTGGGTTGCAGGCACGGCAGAGCAGCACCTCTCTGTTAAATCACTTATTGTCCAGGAGACTTTGTAAAGGTGCAAATTATTTTAGCAGGTCTGAAATCTTATCAGGTGCTGACTCTAACATGATCCTGTCAGCTCTGTGGGAAAGGAGCAGACAAGGGCATTTTGACTCTACCCATTCCCATTCCCATTCCCATTCGATCCTGCTGCTCATTTCCAGCTGCCCCCTCTGGCAGCCCCATCTGGTCCCTCCTCTGTGGGTCTGGGGCAGGCACAGCCTGGCAGATCCCTGGGTTTGTGTTAAAACAATGATTGGGAGTGCTGTACCCTGGGTGCTGGGGGCTGCTCTGAGCTGCCTTGGCAGGTTTGGGATGGGCTGGGTGATGTTCAGGTGGGTTGGTTTGGAATAATAAACCACCCTGGCAGCTCTCAGTGTTGAACAGGAGTCACTGGGGCTGGCCTCTCTCGCTGGAAGGGGTCCAGCCCCCTGCAGAATTTCAGTGCTGGGGTTTTCTGGACAAGGCTGGGAGGGGAAGGTCTGGCTGTGGCTGGAGGAGATGGAGATCCCCATCTCTGGGAGGAGCAGCATGGAGACAAGTGATGATGTTCATTAGGTGCTGCAGGCACCTGTCAGCAGCAAAAGGCAAAGGACCAGAGACTTTACAAGTGCTGCTGAGCTTTCTGCCCCCGAGTCCCCTCCCAGGCTGTGTGACACAGAAACCCCCAGTCACTGGGAGATTTCCAGGATGGACAGACAGCCCCTGGCCAGGGAGCCAGGACACAACCTCAGTCTGGTCCTCTGTGGCAAGTCCATGGCAGGTGGTACAGGACATTCATCCTCCTCTACTGTGCCAGCTCCTGGGAGCAGTCCCTCTCTGACAGGGACATTAATCTGCGTTCCACCACTTCCCACAGATGCTGCTTGAGGACCCGCAGCACGGAGAGCAGATGGAGGAGAAAATCCAGCAGTACCGGCAGGTCAGGCTGGTGCCAGCGGTGGTGGAGCAGGGCTGGTGCTCCCTGGTGCCCAACCTGCTGGCCATGCCCGAGCACGACACACGAGAAAAGGTCCTCAAGCTGGTGGGGGTCCTGGTGGCCTTCTGCAGGGAGCACTACCGCGGGGACCCCGCGCTGGGCACCACCCTCAGCCTCCTGCGCAGCGAGTACGAGGAGCTGGCGGCCGAGGAGCAGAGGGAAGGGGACAAGGATGGCTACTTCAGGGAGCTCCTGGGCTCTATAAACACCATCATCCAGGAGCTGAGGTGAAAGCGTGGGTTCAGTCCAGTTCCAGGGAATTTGGGGTGGCAGCAAGTTTGGATGGCAGCGGTGTAGGTGCACTTTGGAATAAACTGCTGGACGAGACGAGATCCCAGCACTGTGTGCCAATAACTTGGTTATTAAAGTATATTGGGGTGTGGGGAATGGCTTGTTTTCATGGGATACTGCTGGAAAAACAGGTGTACAGTGGAGGGAACAAGCTGAGGGCTCAGCTGGGGAATTTGAGGTTTGCAGAAGGGGAACAAGTGGTGTTCCCATGGGGGGCCGTGTTTGTGTCACCCCCCAGGAGGGGATGTTTGAATCCCTGCACTCCCTCCAGGCCTCGCAGAGCCCAGCTGGTCACTTCCATCCCCTAGTCCTTGCAGGGCTCTGCCACCACCAGGGATGGGCACAAATGCCACCAGATCCCTCTTGTGACTCTGCAGCCAGCAGGCTCAAATATTTGTGGCTCCCATATACAGTGTGTCACTTGTTACTGTTAAGTAGCAGAGCTAATTATTGATTCTCTTTTGAGCTTTCTCTTTTTGGGGTTTATTCAGACTGTTTTTGCTGGCATTAATTTTATGTTTTTTCCCCTATTTTTATCTGAAATGCTTTTCCCAGCCAGCCTTGCCAAAGCTTTACTTTGTAGGCTTTAAAAAAAATAAAATAAATCTGATGGCAACAAGTCAGGATAAGCATGGGAAGGGGGAAGGGGCTTTTCTGCTGGAAACCTGAGCCTCTGGAACGATGCCAGGTGAAGCAGGGATCCAGGAGGAGTGGGGGGGATCAGCACAGGATTTCTCAGGCCCTGCCTGGCCTTGTCGCTGTGTCACACTGGATTTGAGGTGGGGATTGTCTAACACCTCCTTAGGGGATGAGCCAGGGAGAAAACCACCAGCAGCCCTCCCTGTCCAACCCCAAAACCAAAACCCCACTCACTCTTTCTACAAGTCCTGACCAGATTTTGAGCAGGGGCTCACTGGGGCCTGTGCTGGCCCTGGGGATGGAGGGGTGCCCGTGGGCCTCCGGGGCAGCTCGGGAGGGAGCAGGTGCTGGCTCCTGGTCAGTGCCAACAGTGCCAGCCCTGGGACAGCCCCTGTGGCCTGGGATGACAGCAGGAGCTGCCTGTGTCCCTGGCAAGGTCCTGGTGACCCTCCTGGGCTGTTTCCCGCACACCGGCACAGTGACACAGCCAAGGACGTGGAGCACTGAAAGGAGGCCAAAAATTGAAAACAAAGAAGAGTTTCCTGGCAGTGCTGCTCGTGGGCACTGGGCCCTGGCTGGGCACTCGTGGGGCAGAGGCTGGGTAAGGTCCTGGGCAGTGCTGGTGCTCAGGGTCCCCACATCCACCCCGTGTCCCCCTGCCCAGGGGGCTCTGGGCTCTGCAGGGGGATCACCCAAGGAGGGGTGGCCAGTGGGGCCCCATGGGCTGCAGCCACCTCCTCTCTGCAGCTCCTGCAGGTCTCAGGGGTCCTGTCTGAGCACTGGCAGTGCAGCCATGGCACCTCACAGGGCACTCACTGCACCATGGGGAGCGTGGCCAAGGCTCAGGCAGGGGGGCTGCACCCCAAAGAGGGGCGTCCTTCCTCCGTCTGCAGGCCATGTGTCCCCAGAGAGTGACACAGAAGGGCAGGCAAGTCCTGGGCTGCTTTCCCTGGTCACAAATGACCAGGCCGGTGTCCCCACTAATGAGAGGTTTGTTTCCCAAGTGGTGCTGCTGATCCACACAGCCCAGGGTAATGACAGGGCTGCTGTGGCTGCCTGACCCTCCCCTGGCAGGGATGGGGACAGGGACAGGGTCAGGGCTGAGCCTGTCCTGCCCCAGCCCCTGTGCAGAGCCACAGGCAGGGCTGGAGGGGCCCCAGGGCTGGGGGGTCCTGGGGCAGATGGAAACCTTGGTTAGGGCTCACTGGACCCTCTCCCAGTGCAGCTCTGGGAGGTGGGATGGGCACTTCCATCCTTAATTTTGGAGCTAAAAGGGTCCCCTCATTCCTCCAGCTTCGAGAGGAGGTCAGGCTAAGCACTGGAGTCAGAGGTGGCTGGGCCAGGAACAGCTCCTGCTCCTTCCCCTGCAGCCACAAGAGCATCAGGGGGGCTATGCTGGCTCAGCCTGGGCTCCCCAAAGCCTGGCACCCTGAGGCAGGGAGTGCTCGGGGCAGAGCCCACAGTCTGTGTCTCCCCAGCCTCCCCCATCCACAGCAGCACTGGAGCAGCTGATGTCCCTTAATGGATTTTTCCTTTTCTCATCCGTTTGTTGGGTTTTGGATGCACTCGCCCCTCCCCACCCTCTCTGCTCTCTCCTCAAGTTGTGAGGTTGAGGTTTGGCAGCCGTGGCCTGGTTTGGAGCCGTGCAAGCACACACGGCTCGGGGTGCCCTGCTCCCCCCTCCTGGCACATCCCAGGGGCAGTGAGAGCAGGGAGGGCTGCAGTGGGAAAGGCGCTCATTAACGGGCATTAAATCGTGGCACGGAAACTTCACACACAATTAAAGCGGCATAAATTCAACGTGGCTCCATTCACCGCGGAATTGAATTAAGAGCACTTGAAATCTGGAGTAAGACTTATCTCTTGAGGATTTAATGTGGTTTCACTAATACACTTTAGAAGATAACGTGGGTTCATCTTCCTGAGCTCCCTGCACTGCCAGGTCTGCCGGGCTCTGGCACAGCCTCAGTGGAGCTGCCGTCCCACTGCACTGCAAAAAACCCCCAAATCTCTTCAAAAAACCCCCAAACCCCTCCAGCAAGCAGTCTGGCTGTTGCAGGCGGTGCCTGGGGAGCAGCCGTGGGAAGCCGGCGGGCAGGGGAATCCCACAGCCTCGGTGGGTCCCCGCATCCCCACGGAGGGCTGGAGCTGGGCAGTGGGGTCCGGCTCCTCGCCCACCGCCGGGGGAAGCGGCTGGAGCATCCCCGGAGCTCTCCCCGCCCGTCCGAGCCCAGCGTCATCCTCCGGCACGAGCCCTTCCCCAGCGCTTAATTACACGCAGCAGTAATTACTGTAATTCTCCTCAATTGGCTCCCTAATAAAGTCGCAGCTTCGCTGGCGGCCGGACCCCCTCGCTGAGCCGCTGCTCCAGCGCCGCTTTCCCACGCAGGGCTGGGATTCCCTGGCACGGCGGGATCGGAGCTTTGGGGCTTTTGAACTCCTGACCCACCCGGCTCTTGGGCTGGTGCTGAACAACCCGGAGGGGCTGGAGCAGGGACAGGAGCCGGGGATGGAGCCGGGGATGGAGCAGGGACAGGAGCCGGGGATGGAGCAGGGACAGGAGCCGGGGCTGGAGCCAGAGCCGGGGATAGAGCTGGGGATGGAGCAGGGACAGGAGCCGGGGATAGAGCTGGAGATGGAGCAGGGACAGGAGCCGGGGATAGAGCTGGGGATGGAGCAGGAGCTGGAGCAGAAGCCGGGGCTGGAGCCAGAGCCGGGGTCGCTCCAGGATGAGGAGCCGCCCTGCCCCGGCCCCAGGATCTCCCCAGCCCCGGTGGCTCCACCACCAGCTGCTGGAACTGGGGTTTCACCACACGAAATCCCCTCTCTGCTGAGGGGGGAGGCGTTTTCTCCCCTCCAGCCGCTGCTGCCGCACTCCTGAAGGGATCAATTAAATGTTACACCAAAAGCGATTCACCTCACTGTCCTTCTCTGCCCCAAACCCAAACACGAGTCCCAGAGGAGCAACTCTCGGGTACAAAAGAAATATGAATTGAGGATTTTTTGGCCTCCTGTCCCCATCGTGTTCCTGCTGCTCCTGCACCCCCTGGGGCTGTAGCTCTCACCATCTTAATTTCTTGATGCTCAATGTTTGTAGCATAAATTAAACTAACATGTATTTAAAAGCTAAATACGTGTAAATTTGTCTGTACATCTTAATAGAGGTATTTTTTTTAAGCTTACTAATAGATTGTATTGGGGGGGAGTCATTGGCTGTACTCCCCAGACAGCCCAGGGAATGTCACCTTTAAGACAATACCAGGAGAAAAAAAAACCCATATTGTATAAATTCAGTTAATAATTATCTCTAAAAGAAGACCTACAGGCTGTTAACCCCCAAATGGCAGTGGAGCACAGCTCCCCCTCCGAGCCTGTTTACATGTTAAGGCTATATGAAAATAGCCTATAATTCCACTGGTTAATAGCAGTACTCAAGAGGCCAAAATGCTTGAAAACATAATACATTTGGCAAAAATATCTCAAAAAACTATTTAGCTTAATTCCGACCGGCATTACAGTAACACGACAGCAATAACCTTAATACAGTAAATTATGAGCTGATTGAGATAAATAAAATTATAACATTTCAGTGCCAAGGCTCAGCTCTAAAATGGAGCTGCACTTTAGACATTGACTGCAGCCCAGGCTTTTCCAGCTCCACAGGAACAGGCACCGCTTCCCTGCACCCGACTCGACTGGGATGTGTGAAACACACTGAAATTCATAAAATTTAAATAAGACAGCGAAATTATACCTTGTAGCTATAGTTATCACAAATAATGTACAGTCTAAATTGCAGCCTGAGCAAACACGATTTCCTGGGTGCCTCTGGAAGCCCAAGGCGGGATGCAGAGCAATTATGAGGAATGAGCACAAAGCTGATTTGCATCTGAATGGCGAGGGGGGGGCGAGGGGCGGGCTGGGCCCCGCTCCATTCACAGCACCACAATGAACCAGCTGGGAAAAGCAACTTTATTAGTGTCCCGCAGCAAAACACATTAGTAATTTGTAAGCAGGCATTACAAGCACACCGGGGGAGGTTTCCACAGGGATCGGCCCCGGGAGCTCCCCGGCAGCAGCGGAGCCCCTCCGAGGGAGCGGTGCCACCAGGGTTTCTAAGGAATTTTTTGGGGAAATGCCCAGAGGGCTCCGGGGCAGCCCAGGAAAAGCAGCATCACAGCCCCGGGGCACCGCCGAGCCCAGCTCCGAACACCGTCCTCAGCAAAACCCAGCACGGGTGGAGCGGTTTTCCAGCTGTTTTCCAGTTGTGCTCACACAGCCGGTGCCTGCTGGAATTCCAGACTCCTGAGCTTGCTCCCTCTCCACCCCCACAGAGATACACTAGCACATACAATACTTGCATTAAGATTTTTTGAGTAAAAAAATCTAACTTTTGTCTCTCAATCACTGTGATAAAGTGAGTCTCTGAGTAGCATGATCCAGTATTAGTGTTAACCGTTAGTTGTACTGTAAAATCCTCTTTGGTTATAGAATATTTCATTTAAAGCAAGATTACAAAAAACAGTTTCCAGCTAGAAATCCACCCCTGTAATCTAAAAACCATCTAAATTACCACACTTCTGCAAGCTGAAGATATACTGATAGGACTTAAAAATTTGAGTATCTCCCTGGGTAATCTAAACACAATTATCAAAATTATATTAAGTAAATACATTTGAAGGAATAGTAAATTTTTGAAAAATTCTTAGGGTATTAAAAGTAGAGTTCTGGAAGTAGCAGTAGTGGCTAGAGAAAAACACCCCCGAGCCAGAGCTCGCCTCTAGATACTCTCCATGGCCTTGAACTCGCTGAGGGCCTGCACGGGGTTCACGTGCTTCTTCTGGGATGCCCTCTTGATTTTCGTCTGGGTCTCGTCCTGCTTCTCCCTCTTGACCAGGGGTTTCTTCTCCGGAGCCTTCATCTTCCAGGAGACGGCCGGCAGGTTGAGGGAGGCCATGCCCTGGGACTTCTGGTACTTGGTGGAGGCCACGTAGGAGGCCTTGACCGTCTGCACCACGGCGTTCATCAGGTTCTTGGCCGCCTGGATCAGGGACATGGCGCTGTCCACCTGCCAAGGGACACACGGTCACACCCCCGGAACCCCAAACACAGCCTTCCACTGAGCACACCAGGCCTGGGGGTAAAACCACTTGAAAACTGATTCATGTGGCTGATTTCTGTTTTTCCTTTGAAAGCTGAGGCTCCTGGTTTGAGGCAGGATTTTCCCCTGGACGCTCGGTGGTTACAAACCTGACTCGTGCCACCAACACAAAAGCAGTGTTTGCCCCCCTGTCTGCATTTCCATATTAATGGTAGTGGGAACCATTTGTATTCTGCCCTTTGCTTTTGTGACTAAGCTTTAACAGTTGCTTATTCTCTAATGAAATTAATAAAGCTGTAGTAATATCTTAATCACTGATAATAAATATTTAAATTGCCCTACAATACTGAGTTGGATTGGGAAGGAAGGAACACAACTGCATCACCAGCCTGGCCTGGAGCCCTTTCCCAGCTGGTTCCTGATTTACAAGAGCATCAAAACAAGGAAAAACATGAATTTGTCAGAGCTGGAGGGCACAGTGGGGATAAAGAGCTGAGAGCAGGGCTGGGTGGAAGAGGGGAGGAGCACTGTGGTGACCTCAGCTGGGACCCCCTTCTCCAGGGGCCAGGGTCCTGCTCTGGGTGGGATCCCCAGCTTGCCAAGGCCCAGGGGGCTGGGACAGGGGTTTGATCTGAGGCAGGACTTGGTTCTGGTGGCTTCTCTGGGGCACTGTCCCCTTCCTTCCACCCCACGTGGCACCTCAGATCCTCTGGCAAACCACTGAGCTCTGCCCTCCTCCTCACCAGGCTGGAAACCACAGCCCTGGAGTGTTTCCAGGAATCCTCACAGCAGGAGGAATTGTTAAAGGCCAGGAGAGCAGGAGGTGCTTTCTGAATGAGCTGTCAGACTCTGAAGGTGCCAGCTCTGCCTGCCTGGGCCGTGGTTCTGGTGCAGGGGCAGGGCACTAACACTGGACAGAACTTTCCTTTCAGACAGGTGATGCCTCTGCACTGGCTGAGGTCTTCATCTGATCACCCCATGGGCATTAACACCGCTGCTGGCAACCCCCAGCCCTGCTGGACAGGCTCGAGGAGAAGGGATAAAAGCAGGAGGTCAAACCACAGAGGCCAGGCTGTTCTGTCACTAATTCATGGCAGGGGGGATGTAACTCCTGGAGACACTGAGTAACTGCACTGAAGCCCTGGAGTAGGTATTGCTGAACAGTAACACATCTCCTGCTTTGACAGCACCATGCCTTCAGCCTCCCAGCTCCAGGACAGAACAGCAGCACATCCACCACAGCCCCTGGGGCTGCTCTGGGGGCTGGAAAGGCAGCAGGAGGGGCAGCACAGCCCCATCAACTGGAAAATATCAGTGGCACAGGGTGCCCAGAGAAGCTGTGGCTGCCCCTGGATCCCTGGAAGTGTCCCAGGCCAGGCTGGACAGGGTTTGGAGCTGCCTGGGATGGTGGAAGGTGTCCCTGCCATGGCAGGGGTAGGATGGGATGAACTTTAAGGTCCCTTCCAACCCAAACTGTTTCATGATTCTGTGGTATCAAAATGGCAGAATGTGGGAAGTTTTTTCCATTTGCTGATCAGGATTCAGGGAGCAATTCTGAACTATCAGCAAATTCTGTCCCTTCTTCCAGCCTCCTTCCTCAGTCCTGACATGGCTGGGCAAAAGCACCACTGACCAAACGTGCCTGTGCAGGGCAAGGAAGAGTATGCCAGAAGAAATTAAGAATTTAGCTTCACTTCCCTCCCCCCAAATATCTGTCATACAGAATCCTCTTAGGAGGAAGCATTTCATGAACTACAGGGAAAAAAGTTATTTGCAAAGTTAAGGCTGGAATAAGGAAGCAAGCTGGCCTGGGGCAGCTTCCAGCTGTCAGAAACCAGAACAGCCACTAAAAATCCCTGCACTCTTCAGGGCACAGCCATCCTGAAATATTAACATCTCCAGAGCATTGCAGGACCCCAGCGTGTTCCAAGGCTGTGCAGAGACGTGGGGCAGGTTTAGCTGCACAGATAAAGCGATTTAACCTCACTAAGAGCGAAAAACAGTCTGGAAAACAGATTACACAGAGGTGAAGTGAATCTGTCTACAAACAGTGTTGAGTAAGGAAATGTGAAGTCTGTATTTTCACAGCAAGAGAACAGCGAGGCAGCAACACAAACTCTGCATGCATTAAAGCTGTGCACGCTCCAGCACCTCCTGTCTATTTTCTGTGGTGTTTAACACGGGAGCTGGGCTCAGAACAGCCTGGGCTGTGCCATACGTACCCCGGACACGACGAGCTCCCCGCCCAGGTTCTGCACCTCGGCCTTCACCTTGCTGCAGATGTTGAGCTGGTGGCAGTAGAGCGCGATGCGCTGCAGGTAGGCCAGCAGGTCCTGCTTGCACGCCGAGTCTGGGCACTGCGGGAGAATCAGAGGAGGAATCAGGAATTAGGGGCTGCGTTAGAGCCTCGTCCCTAAAGGGGTGCAGCTGTGCCAGACCAGCACTGCAGGAAAGGAAGCACACAATGCTGAGGGAATGGAGCAGTAACAAAGAGTAAAAGGGCACTGTGGGTGCTGTGCTGTGTGTGAGGGAAAAGGGCAGGGAAGGTTTGATGGAACCATTCTCAGAGGCAGCTCGGCAGCACCACAGCTGGGGCACAGCCAAACCAGCACCTCCCCCTGGAGCAGGGCATGGGCAGGAGAGCCCTGGGCTTTCAGACAGCTGAGCAGCATGAAAGGCATCTAAAAGCCAGGAGCCATGAGCAGGGGCAGCACTGGACAGGCTCCATCCAGCTGCCCTGCAGCAGCCCTCCCAGGGAGGAGGAACAAGAGGAAGAGAAGAAGGACTATTTGCCCTCCCCATGATACTTTAAGTTTTAGCTTTCATATTTTCCAGATTCTGTACTGCATTAGAATATAACTCTGAACTTGATATAAAGTGTTGGCAAGTTCTCCTCACTGTTTTTCCAGCCCCAGAACCAAGGACACCATTGCAGCTTCAGGCCCAAAAAGTGTAAAGTGTTCAGTACCAGTTCACTGTAACAATTCACTAATTGAGGAGAGCAACCTGGGAGGATGGGACTGCATCACCTGCAGCTGTAATTGGACAATTGACCCTAACATGCTAATGGACTGAAATAAAAGTGTGAAAACTCGTGACTCAGAGTCCATCTTGCATCTATCTTGGGCAGAGTCATGGCCAGGCTCTTGTACTGCCCAAGGTGTATCCTTTAAAAGCCTTTTAATAAATCCCTACTTTATTCCTTTAACTGCCCAGCCTCTGTTCCAGGGAGCCTCTTTAGCCATCACCCAGAGCAGGTGTGTCAGCTGTAAAAGGTCCCTCCTGTAGTGTACAGGACACAGCAGTGATGGTCTGGCACCCAAGGTCTCAAGCTGCAGGTGTTACCAATTCCTCCCTCAATCCTCAACCTTAACTATTCCAAGCTCCAAAGCGATAAACACGACAGCAACTCAATTTCCTGCAGCAAACAGAGATTTTCCTGACTTCTGCTCCCATCTCACAGCAGTGGGGAAAGCAGGTTCCTCACCAGGCACAAAATGACATTTTTAAGGTGCTTGCTGCAGCACTCATCCGTAAGAGAAAGGAAACTTTTTCAGCTTTGCACAAAAGGCTCTGCAGGAGTCCCTCTGTGCAGCTCAGGAAGGGCATTTTCTGGGACAGAATCCAAGAATGAGCCAGGCTCAGGCTGGATTTCCAGAGCAGAGGGGAGTTCAGCTGAGGAGCAGCCACGGTCCAGAGCAGGCTGTGGGAAGGGCTCTGCTGCCCACGCCAGCCCCTTTAGGAGCAGCAGCAATGGGGAGCCAGCAGCAGGTCCCCCATGCACCTCAGCCCCAGGGGCACCCCACATGTTCACACACACACACAGCTCCAGCTTCACATCCATGTGATTTACACCACATTGGGTCACACCCAATGTTGCTTCAGCCCTGCTCTGAACCCCAGAGAAGCATCACTTGTACCCCACAGAGAGCTCCTGCTCTTTGTTCCACAGAAATGACCACTCATCATCTCATCCAGCATACACAGGTCTCCTGGACCAAACCAACACCATCAGACTGTCATTATGTTGTGCTCTGAGGCAGGCTGCACTGTGGCCAGCATTATTTCAGCTGTAGCTGTGGAATCCACCTGGCAATACCCAGGCACAGGCACACCCTGCAGGGATCTCCAGCCTTCCAGACAGCTGCACCCCATCCAGAGTGATTTAAGAGCTCTTTTTCACACACCCCTGTTCACAGCAAAATCCCATTTCACCGAAGACACTGATCCTGTGCAATGGACCATCTGATGAAGATTCATAATGGACATGGCATGACTGGAAGATTAATCTTCAGTGTGGCACCACTTCATTACTTAAAGCTTCACTCCAGCTGAGGGTGGTTGCACTGGCTGTGCAGCCTCTCCCCACTCTGAGGGCAAGGTAGGAATCTCCTCCTGGCTGTGAGCAGCAGGCTCTGAGACCTGATTCTCCCTGCAGACCTCTCCTTAGCTATGAGATGGAAGCAGAAACTCTTCTCTTTATGTAAGAGAGCAGATCGTGGTGCACATGCAGGGATGTGCAAACAGAGTCCCACTCACATGCAGCATTTCCTTCCCAACAGCACCTGATCTACCAGAACAGGTACTTCCCTCTGCAGTGAAGTCAAGTGAAGCTAACACACGCATTTGTTTTTTTTCCAGGGCCAGAACAAGTGACTCTTGCAAAGGAAAGCAGTCTCTGTGCTGAGCAGGGCTAACTCAGGTGCCACAGCGATGTGCACACACAGGGGCACTGCAGTGGAGATCTGCATGGCTTTAGGGGCATCTGACCCCACCAAGAGACATAAAGCCACCTCTTAGTCCCAAGGAAATTGATGGAACAGCCAAATTAATCGCAGCTCTCAACGTGGGCACGCAGCTTCCATCGGTGCAGTGAAGCCCTGCCTAACGAAGCAGCAAAGCTTGCAGGTTAATTTTTTAAGCTAATCAATATTAGTCAGCACTACAAGATGTTTTAGAGCAAGTCCACAAATAGCCCTGGCCAAAGAGTTAATGAAAAGCTCAAATTACAATTTTAGAAACTGATCTCTATCTCCCAAAGAGCTCACCCAGCACAGCGAGCGAGCAGCACTGGAGGGGCTCGAGGGCTGACAAACACTCAGTACAGCACGTCAGGGGATGGCTCAACAATCCCAGCTACTCTGTGGGGCTGTGAAACCATTCCAGGAAAGACTCTCAAGGCAGGAGGCTGTTGCACCATCATCAACAGCTGAGGAAGGCAGCAAAACCTTCATGGAATAGGAATCATCACGGGGTTGTGTACATCAATATGGTGTGAGATGGAAACCCACATCCTCTCCTGTGTGTGCTATTTCTGCAGGCAGGATTGAGGACTCAGCTCAAAGACAGATGAGGTTTAAATGGAGATGTAACACAAGATAAAAAAGAGCATCAACAAAAGGCACTGCGGGTGCCTGCAGGAGCCTTGTCCTTTCCTAGGCAGGAGCACTTGGATAAAAATCAAAAAACCCAAAAGGCAACAGTTTAAACAGCGATCAAGAATGATGACATTATTGGATTAACCCACAGCCACAACCCCCATCTGCAGAGCTGCCATGGGAGGACTCCCACAGCACAGCCCAGCAGGGAGTGCAGTGTAGATGGAAATGAATGTGTGGGGGGACACCTCACCTTCCCAAACCCCAAAACTGAGCTGCAGCCACAGACTCAGGGAAGGTTACTGGCAAAAGCTCAGCTAGCTGCTCCAGGTCAAATCCAGGATCCATCCTGGACACAGCAAACACCCCCAGTTTCAGTTCCTGCTGCCCCAGCTGAGCCTGCAGAGAAGCAGAATCAGCCTTTGATCTGTTTTTGCAGAGAGGAGGGGCAGGGGAAGCCAGCAGAGCCCTGGTGGTGTGTGCTGATGGACACAGCCCATCCCCAGTGGCTGCAGGGGACAGCCAGCAACTGCAGAGCTTCTTCCTCCCACTGCCTCTCCCTTTGGAATGGGCCCTGCTGCACCAGGAATTCCCAATAAATGCCCCTCAGCAGGAGCTGCCAGCAGTTGTTTTGGGCAGGCAGCTCCCTGGCACTGGCCACGTGTGCCAGCAGCTGTCACCAACCTGTGCCCAGGATCCCCAGCATAGCCCCCCAGCCAGGGACCAGTCTCCCCAGCAAGAGGCTGCTGGAGCCTTTTTCTGGAAGTGGGGCAGCCCTCACCCTCACTGGAGATCAGAACCGACATCACCTCGGCCTCCCACCGCTATGAAAGGAAAAAGGAACAGAAATTTCCTTTGGCTTTGTAGGTGTTTGGACATTGAAAAAATAAATAATAGAGAGAAGCCTTGTCTTGCTGCAAACCCTTGTCATCTGTGTTGTGCTCCCTGTTCCCAGCAAGCAGCTGCTTGGAGCGAGGGATGGAAACCTCAGGGAGAACCTGCAGCAGGGACTCCTCCCAACAGACAGGGAATTCCTGGCACAGCAGCTCGTGCAGTTTCAGAGGAATGTGCTGCCCAAGGGCCTGATGGCAGGGCTGGGAGCTGCTGGCACACTGACACGAGGGGTCACAGCTCTGGTGCCAGGCAGCACGCAGGACACGAGCCCTGTGCTCCCAGGCAGGAGCAGGGACAGCGGGATCCGTGCTCGGAGCTGCTCCTGCTCTGTAGCTGTCACACTGCTCCACATTAACATGTTTCTAAAGAGTATGGAAGCACAGCTAATGAAATATGCAGGCTCAAAGTATTAGCAGAGTATGGAGTCAGGAAAAAGCTATATTCTTGTCAAAATGACTAACTGTACAGTGCTGCTCATATTTATCTTCAAACATGTGCTTAATCTGTTACATTTTTAAGGACCTTACTGCTACTAAAAGTAGTTTTCTTTTATAATTTGAAATGGCTTAGTACGGAAAACCATATACCAACTTTGTATAAAACACGTGAATTAAAAAAAACCCAACAAAAACCCAACAAAAAAGCATTGTAAACCTTCAGCCCAAGCTCCCCTGAGACCTTCAACACAAACTGCTCCTTGCTTCATTTACCTACATCAGCAGCACACCTGGTTCTTGCAGAAACAAGGCTGTCAAAGTGCTGTAGCAAGGAGAGCCATTTGAAAAAACACTTCTCAAATTTATCTCCCCATTGAACATCTCTCACTGCATCATTAATAAAGGAGGGTGTAGACAAGCACTTCTGAATGCAACATTAAGAGAGCCCTGCACCACAATGATTTACTTTCAAAGTGACACCGGTAAAACCTTGCAGTACAAATTTCCATCCTGAAAAGGCCTGGAAAGCAAGTGACAACTGGAGAAAACAAAGCTTAGTCCATGATCTCAGACCTAACCTACCTCTCTGGAACTCTGCATTTCAGAGTCTCTCTTGAAGGTGGAATATTATTACTAATATTGATGTTTCCCTGCTCTTTGGGTGTGGGCTGAGGCCAGAGGTGCTCTTGCCTGGCCCAGTTTCTAAGTGGCTCAGGACAGGGATTGACTAAATAAATCCATGAGCTGGCTGTGCTTGTTCAGTCCTGTAAGAATTCCTTCCAAACACTGGGACAGCACAGCCACGCTCAGGTCACCGCAGGCCTCGCTCCAAGTCTTCATCAGCTCTGACTGGACAGTGAAGAAAACCACCAGAGAGCTTTGACACCCTCCCCACTCAGTCTGTGGGGCATCTGAAAATGGTTAATCTTCAAAAGCCTCCTCCAAAGCAGTGTTAGAGGTTGTGCAATAGGCCAGGGCCATTGTGCAGGAGCTGGCTCTGGGCTTTGGGAAGCACCAGGAGTGCTCTGGGTGTGACTGAGCCCAGCTCTGGCACTGCCCTGGCTCTACGTGACCTGAAGCAGGGCTGGCACAAAACACCAGGTGCCCAACTCCAGCCAAGGAGCTGCTGTGTCACTGCTCAGGGAGGCAGGAGAGAGCTGGGAAGAGAAGGATTTTCTAGCAGCAGATGTGGAAAATCAGTTCAAATCCCCCAAAACCGAACACATTTTCATCTCTTCATCTCGCCTGCAGCACTGGAAGATCTGCTCTTGCTCCTGCAACTGGAGGCTCACGGGACTGGGACTTACATGGTCAGCAATGGTCCGGCCCAGCTTGTCCATCCTTGACCCAGCCTCTGCGATCTTCTTGGCTGCACTAATCACATCTGACGTGTTCTTCAGAGGACCTTTACCCCTGCAAAACAGAGCAGAGCCTCCCTCCTAGCACCAGAGAGCCACAGCAGTGAATTCTGTGTGTTTGCTCATTCTGTTCCACACAGTGACTCCTCAGCCAAAGGGCAGGAAAAGGCAGGAGCAGCCACTGCAGCTTCATTCTCAAGAGTTACCCCCTTTTGGCTCTTCCCCACATTTAGCTTAAATCTAGGGATAAAAACATCTTAAATTTTACTGCTTTGAGCAACTTAATGATGATAAGAGATAACATTTTAGAAGACAGATTTGCAATTTTTATGGAATGGAACATGAAGTTTAAAAAATAGCGTTATATAAAATCTAGTAAATTAATTTCAAAAGGCATCAAAAACCCTCTCTTTCCTCTGCAAATAACTGTACTAGGAACTATTTCTGCAGTATGGCAATATTGAGAAGCCCATAGAATTTAATGCTGTAAAGAACTGAGCAAATATATATATATATTCCTGGGGACAAGAATCACCCTGAAGAAAGAAAGACAGGCAATAACTGCTGTGTATCTGTAGATCAATTTGAACAGTTATTACCACCCAGCCACTGCACAATAATGCATCTCCCCAGTTAATATGCAGCTGGAGCAGGGCACCATTTAAAGGAAATTATAAGAAGTGAGACTCTTAGGAGAACTTGCACCATGTCTCATTGAAAGCCCAGCAGCCCAAGCAGCTTGCAGTGAGCACAAATTAAAAAGCCTCACCTGGTGAAGTCTGTCATTTCCATCATAATCATACACATCTGTTTGGCCAGGACAATGATGTCATTGCCACTGTCATCCCATTTTGACACTTCAGCATCCAATTTACTCTTTTCCTCCTGGAAGCTGGCGACCTGCTCAGCAATCTTGGCTTTCTGCTCCTGAGGGAGCTGAGCCATGATAGCCTGGAAGAGAAGAGTTTTCTCACATGGCCTCCTGCTGCCTTGTAGAGGCTTTTTGGAACATTTCACTAATAACCAATTTCAGTCATGTAGATGGGGGATAAAACTTTAATAGCAATCCTCTACCTAGAGGCTTTACAGAGCCATTTGCTTCCATTTTGAATCAAAGTTTATACTCTTTTTTTTAAGAAAAAGTGCCTAGAAAGACAAGTTGACACCTAATATATGGGGCTTTGCATAGTAAAGCTGTTAAGACTCCAAACAAATTTGCCACATATTACCATCCCTCAAAATAAAACTACATGAAGAAGGAGGACTTGTCTTTTATAGAAAATTTCAACGTTTTAAAATTAAGTTCCACTTGGGTATTGAGGATAATAAGAAATATTACCAGTCTCTTCCCTGCAAAAAGCTAGCTGTACTCTTTTGAAACATGTCTGCTGAGGAAAGAGTAAGTGAAAATAAAGAGGATGTGCTTACTCCCAAATAAAATCTCTCAGACTGGGTTTACAGCCTGTGTAAGACTCCATGGCCTTGCCTTCATAAATACTGGGAGCACAGATGCCTCCAGAAGCAGGCAAAAAGGAGCCTTTGCTACTAAAAATCCTCTGGCAGCAGCTGTGCTAAGGGGAAAATGAGCAATGTCTGCACCAAAATAGAAGGGGGAGAGGGTCCAAGTGCTTGTGCAAGGGAGGGGAGCATTAAAATACTCCCAGTTCGTGTATCTCCCAAGCCAAAGTGGCAGAAGTTTGATAAATAAGCTCTGGCTACTTCTTGCCTGGCAGGAAGAGCCTCCACAAGAAATCTGCCGTGGCACTTTCCCAAGAGTGTAAATTGTTATCGATCCAGAGGGGTCGTGTCACATAAAAGCAAAAGCTAAGGCCTGGTTTTCCTTCCGTGCACTGATTTTAGGGTCTCACCTCTTAATGATTATATATTGCCTATCAATGCTTTCATTTTTGACTCACAGGAAATGCAGTTAGTTGGAATGATTTTGTCTGAGTTCCTCTCAGCGTTGCCTTGATAAATGCTCAGTGACCACACACACACATCAGCATGTGTGTGAGGAGACATTTTGTGAAGATTTTTTGCTCATAAAGTTAGTGTTTGTCTGTTGAAAATAACATTAATGCAATGGAGTGATCTGCCCTGTACCTCCCTGCATAAGCTCACTTGACTACATCTGTGATATCAAAATGTGATGTAGTTTCTTAGTACTAAAAGGATTTTGATCTTTCAGAATACCTCAAATACTTAAAATAAAACACAGACATTTCTCACATCCATCAGACCAACTGCATTTTCACTCAACCTCCTTTTCAGAAGAATGCTGGAAACAAAGAATACCAGTTTTCTGATCCAGCATTTTTATAACCACCCCCCCTGCTCCCAAATTTCACCTGGGTTTTCAAAGCAAGCTGAAGTGTTTCTTGAAGGCAGGTCACACTTTTATAATGCTCAGCTTTGTGCCTTACCCTTGCACTCTGTCCAGCAATGAGCTGATCATCCTCAGTCTGGATACTGGTTCTGCTTCGGACGTCGAAATCCTCGGTCTCGAAGTCAGAATCATCCAGCTCTTCAGGAGTCTGAGGAAAAAGCATTCAAGCAGAGTCAAACTACAGATTCCATGGCTCTGAAAATCAACAAGAATATTGTTTTTCAAGCAGAAAGAATGGAAATCAGTGGAGGTAAAAATTATTCCATGTTTTCAACAAAAAGGTAAATACAGGGACTATATCCAGCTCTGAACACGTGTGATTTTATGTGCTTGACTTCTCCTGTTAAACACCATAGGGATCCCCAGAATCACACAGCAGTAACTAAACAGCTGAGATTTGTCAGGACATTAATGCACTCAGCATCTGAGAGACAGAAAAAAAAGTTCTTGTGAAACGAACAGTGCTTTTGCAACTTGATTAAATGTAAAAGCTTCACTCAGGATTCTGAAGCTGGAATTACACACAGCTCTGAGGGCTGGTTCAGAAGCACAGACAGTGGCTTCAGCACAATTATGAATCAAAGCATTGACTAAATTAACAACAGATAAAATATCTCAAAATTTATCATTATCCCTCAGGAAAAGCTGAAAAATTTCAGCTAGTAAGGGCCAGCTTTTATGCTGTAGGCTAAACACATCTGACCTAGTTCCTGCTTGCCTAGGATTTATTTTTGCTACTCCCAGTCTGTAGCTGGCAAACTTTTTATAAAGCCTATCAAGTTTAAACAGCATGTTTGTCAAAATACTACATCTTTGCTAAAGTGGCACTTCACGACAATTCTCCAGAGCTGGGTCAACAAAGAACTTCACTGATAAATGCAATAAACTGTGATTAACAGATAAAATACAAATAAAGTCCCTGCTATTTAGATTTTTTTCCCTATGATTTGAATTTCACAGACCTGTCTTCCACTACAGACACTTTGTGATACAGTGAAAATAGAGATGGATATGCAAAATAATTGCCAAAAAGCCAAAGTGAGTAGGGTGGCAATAAGACTTTGGGCATTCCAGCCTCCTCTCCAGGAGGAGAACAGGGTATATCCACAACATCAGCAGAGGGACACACACTAAGAAGGTCAGTGTATCAGTATTTTTTAAAAAATGAAAGAACATAAAGAAAGCAGTTCTGCTGTACCTGATTCTGTGTGTGACTCTCCTCTGCCCACCCCTCCCACAGCCCAGGGACACACAAAGTGTAACTCTGCCTTTCAAGTGCCACCAAGGGCAAAAACTCCTCTGGGGTCACAAGCCTGGGTAGCAGGGAGGGGGGAAGAGCTTCTCTTCAACAAACACAGATATATGGAGATGGTAATTTTGAAAATACCCTGCATAAACACAAAACTGAGGTGTGTGGCCTTTCCTGCTGGTCCCTGTAAAGAGCAAGAGCCCCTGGACAAAGCTGAAGTGCCCCTGTGAGCAGGGTTACACCTGGAGAGCCCTGGAATTCCCATTTGGATGGTTCTTCCATCCCAAAATAAACTCTCTGGATGACAAATGCTAATATTTTAACTTCTTTCTAGGTAGCTGCTGTGGCTCCCTGGCTCCCAGAGCGTTCCTGGCACTGCCAGCCTGGGTAATTACTGCCCACTGGGACTGGCAGCTCCCTGTCCTGAAGATCAAGGGCTTCAGCAGGGGGGAATCACATCCCTCTGTCTGCAGAGCAGGAAGGCATTGATACCTTCATCTACCATCTATAATTCCTGAGCTTGTCTGGAAAAAATTCCACAGGGAGCACAGATGTGGTTGGCAGCTTTCCTCCTGGTTTCTCATCTGATCCTCTGCTTTAAGCAGCGAACATGGAAGATGCCATTGCAGTGGGTACTGTAATCACAGATCTCCTGGGGCTGTACACTCTTCATTTACTGACCACCAAGCTGCATCTGCCATTGTCACCACTCTGAAAGACCAGGGCACTTTCTCAGAGTCAAAGGAATACATGGAAAAGAAGAAAAAAGGAATAAAACCCCTGTATTTGTCTTTGCTATGTCTGGCTCCTTGCCCACTTTTGCCCCAGTTAAGATCCAAGAAAAAGGTTCATGGATCAGCTTCAACCAGAACTTCCTTTTCTGCATCCCTTCAACCAACTGTGCCCTTCTGTGTCTGGTCTACCAGAAATGAGGGCTTCCAAGTCACACCCATTGCAAGCACACTGGAGTCAAGGCCTCTGTGAGCTGCCCCTGTTTACCCAGGTTAGCCAATTTACAAATTACATGGAACTACAGACCAAACCCATCGCAGCTTCCTTTGGACTAACTAACATTAATTCTCAAAATTTACTTAATGAAGAGCCATTAGATTTTATTTCTAAGCTCTCAAAGCATCATCAAGCATCTATAGTTCTGAATTAATTTGCTGTTGTTAACTGAAAGGTCACTGATCTTAGCACAAGATGTGTGATGGGGATTCAGCATCACAACTCGGGCCATCAGCGATGCTCAGACCTGGCTGATGAATCTGAACCCAAACTGCTCAAGCGCTCCACAGCAATTAGCACGTTTTAAGACTCTGAATGTTAATAGGAGCTAAATGAGAATCTTCTCCTGCCTGCTCTCCATTATCCTTCTGGCTGTCAGTCCTACAGGGGCAGGGAAAGCTGCTGGGGGAAGCTGTCCTCACCCGGATCATCAGCACGGCTTTCCTGATGTCGCGGATGCCGTCGTACACCAGCCGCGAGGCGTCGATGAACTCGTTCTCATCCATGGGCTGGGCAGGGTCGGAGCTCAGCGCTTCCACTGCAGCTTCCACTTGCTCCGTGAAGCGCGGCATGACTGAAACCAGAGCACAGAGCTGCTCAGTCCCACCCCGAGCCACTCACTGCTTCCCTTGCTCTAAACTACCCTGCAAGCTGTGCACTCCTGCCATGGAAATCACAACACCTGGGACTGGACGTGAACTCTTACTCCTGCTTATGCTGCTGCTCTTTGGTGTTTTCCCCTTGGACAGTGAAAAGTTTATCACACTCCTCTAATGGACAAGGAGACCTGGGGACACCCCTAGAAACTATAGGATAAAATATCAATTGTTTATCTGATGTTCCCTGAAGATGTACATCATTTTTGGGGGGAAAAAGCAGTCATGCTACGTCAAGAAACTCTGGTTTAAGAAACACTGGAAGGGGGCAGGTTGCACTGCTGCATTTCAGTGACTCATGGTGCCCCAGGAAGAACATGCCAGAACCAGTTAAGAGTCTGCTGTTCCTTCAGTGTCACCCTTGATTCTTCATCAAAGTAATTAAAACAAAACCAACAACGAGTGGCAGGCACTGAAGCAGCCAGGCTCACCCCTTACCCTTGTGGATGTCACCAGTAGTTCATAGGGAACACCCTGATTTGGTGTTTATGTGTGGGGCACTACAACCTACAGTGCTCTTTCAACAGTTGTAAAGACAATTTACAAAATTTACCCTAATTATTACCCTGAATTTATTCTGCTGTGGAACGTGATCTTCCTTCTGGACCCTGAACAGCTGCAGAGCCTGGTGCAATGCTCCAAGATGAGCACAGCACAAATTCAAGCCTCCCCTCACGTCTGGGACACACTCCCGGTGGTTTTGCTTCCCACAGTGCAGTCCATGACAGTGAGCACACCTTGTGCACCGCTGAGCCTTGAGCCAGTACATGCAGCAAAACCAAACTTCTCACTTTTCAACAGCTTTGCAAACAACTCCCACTAATTTGCACGGCAGCAAATGGAGTCTTTAGCAGATTTCACAGGTACGCCGTCCCCAGCTGCCCACAAGCTCTCAAACAGCAGCTCAGGGCTCCTGGGAGTAAGCGACCCTTACCTGTGTTGGACAGTAACTTGGTTGCTTCCAGCACCTTCTCAGTGTACACTCCAGGCTCGTAGTTGTCCATCTCGGAGGTGACCACGTGAATGACGCGAGCGGCGCGGCCCCGGATTGCCCCGGCCGTGCGGTCTAAGCCATCCACGTCTTTCTCTTGGAGAGCGATGACGCATTTGTTTACATCTTCTAAAATGTGATTCTCTGGTGGTAAAAGAAGGAGAATTTAGATGGTAATGTCTTTTCTGCTGCAGTCATCAGCATGGCAATTGCTCAGTAAGGGACCTGCTCTAGAGAAGCTCCACGGAGATGCGGGCAAGCGTTAAGGTGAAGGTCACTGCAACCAGCAGAGCTGCCCTTCCACAGGAGGTGTCAAAAAGCCGTCAGCCCGGCCACCAACTGGCCTCCACACGTCCTGCGCCTATTTATACTCGATTTTACCAACAGGGGAGCAGAGTTCTGCTGAGTTCTCCCCTGGTTTCTTTCCATATTTCTCCCCTGGACTGGCCCAGCCCTTATTTCAAATACCTGCAAACCACTCCCCTGCTGGTGCACGTGGGGCGATGGGCACATCCCCAGCACCACACCCACTCCCCTCAACACTCCAACAGACACTTGCTGTGCCTTTCCAGCTTCCTCCAGAGTGTTTTCCTACAGCCACACGCATTCCATCAGAACACATGACACTGTCAGTCGCCCATTCCCATCTGAGACACATAATGTATGCAGTGAATAATGTGGAAAGCGTTCCAGCCACACAGCACTCAATGACTGCTCAGAAAACAAACAAAAAAATAAAGGCAAGACCTCTGTTTGCAATTAGCTTTTTTAATATACATTTTCTGGTGTTGTAAAGAGATATTTTCCCCATTCATCGAGTCCAAGAAGCCCAAAATGGGTAAGACATCTAACAGATTTCTGAAGAAGCCTAAAGAAATTTGGATCCTTACTTGGGAAAACCTACCATAAAGATCTCCCAAACTGTTTTTAGACTTCCAAACTCTGTTAGAGAGCTCTTTAATGTACCAGGACTAATGTTTCAGAATCATCATCCAACACTAGCACTTGGGCTGCTTGGTAAGAAACCAACTTGGAAACATTTCTGCTCTGTCACTTAAAATAGTTTCCAGTGTTAATTACCATTGACTTAATCATTCTACACTGCCAAGCCATGCAAGTGGCTTTTATTCCCTCTGCAGGTAGTAAAAGAGCCATTTTGCAAGAGTTTGTAGAGGCAAGAAGCTCATAGTGTTGGCTGGGAGAGGACTTGGAGGAACTGCCTGAAAGGATTGCTGCAGGAAGTTACTCCTGATTTACATAAAATTAACACAGCCAGGTGCAATATTGCAAGACTTCTGTAAGTAACCTGGACAAAAATTACACTTGTGAAATCCCTCTGAAGCAACTCAGCCTGAGCAGGTTCAGCTGAGGGCAGAATGTGGCCCTGAGAGAGGGAAGAGCAGGTTCATTAGTGATTTGACAAGTCAGTGAGCAGGCACAGGAGCCACAGCGAGCACAGAGGGGATTTAAAGAAGAGACAGCCCTGGGAGCTGCAAGAGCCCGAAGAAAAAGCTTCGGCGCCAGGCCAAAACACAGACTGTTTATTGCTTCAATTCCTAAATGAATAAATTAAGCCACAGACCATTTAAAAGCCTCTTTGGATTATCCGAACTTTAATAAAAGGCATGGACAAAAGGAAGGTGAATATTTAAATGTCTGCTGCTCATTTAATGCTTTTTGCAGATGTGAAGTGGCCAGAGAGTCCCTTCTAGAGGGAGATAACCCACAGGGCAGCTTGCAAAGGGCCCAGGGAAGTGCAGGACTGTCAGGTCTATCTGCTCTGGTGATATTCTCCAGCTGGATGATAACAGGTAAGATCTGACCCTGTGCTGAGTTCTTGTGAATACACCCAGTGCTCCCCATCCTACTGGAACACAGAGCATGGGTTCCCCACCAGCACTTCTGGGGATGGGAGAAGGCTGTCCCACATCCAAACCCACCTGTCCCACATCCAAACCCCCCTGTCCCACATCCAAACCCCCCTGTCCCACATCCAAATCCCCCTGTCCCACATCCAAACTCCCCTGTCCCACATCCAAACCCCCCCTGTCCCACATCCAAACCCCCCTGTCTCCTGCTGAGCAGGAGAAACATCCCACAGCAACAGAACACAGGCAACAGCAAAGGGATCTTGTCCCACCGAAATAGCTACAGAGAAAATGGTGTGGTTGGGCAACAAGCTAAAAGGAAAGGTATTTTTTCCACAGAAATGACTTTTAGACCAAACAAGGAAATATATTAAACTGCGAAAAGCTACAGAATAAAAAGTCACCCACGACTGTCAATCCTCAATCCACGCCCACCAAACACCTTCCACCTCCACCCACCTCCACATTAAAGGGATTAAGCAATGCTTTTCCAAACAACCCCAGCAGCCTGTGAGGGAGTCTGAGAGCTACAGGAGATCAAAATCAAAGAGCAACAGTCGGGGGATGAAGCCACAGATTCATAAATGCAGCTGTGCTCGTCTGCTGCACCTCCTGTGGAAGGTCTCAGAACCATTTCCATGCTGAACCTCTGCTGCCAAGGGGCACTGCAGGAGCCAGGTTAGGCAGCACATGGAGCAAACTCTGGGGAGTTCACACTCTTGTAAATAGTGCTCATCCTGCCAATATTCACTGGGAGGCTCTTCAGAAAAAACAGTTCCACTCAGATGGGCAATCTGTGGCATAAACCTTTGTCAGCAGCACAGGAACAGAAGGCAGCAAATGGAATGGTTTTTTAAGAGGGTTTCAAAGGAGATTCAGGCAATTTCAGAACACTGAATTTGACAATTACACGGTGCTATCAGCAACTGCTCTAAAGAACAGAGATAGTGGGCACACCAACACACGCAGAGTGCTTCAGGAAGGCACTGATAAGAGGGATAAGAATTACAGAAGGTACAGGAGAGCTTTGAAATGAGGAATAATGAAACAGGAAAAGACTGTGCAGTCGGGGAAGTGATGAGTGACAGAGTGCATGGCACAACTCTGTGAGTTTGCAAACAGCACGGAGAGAGAATGGGGAAAACCTCTTCACCATCTCTAGTACAAGCAGGGGCATCAAATGAAGCAAACAGGCGACAGTGCAAGACAAGGAGGTTCTTCACACAGAGCACACTTCAGCTGTGAATTTTGCACAGGAGGATGGAGGTGCCAGCAGTTTATAATGGTCGAAAGAACAACTAACACCAGCTTAAATGAGAAAAATCTGTCAAGGATTGTTCAGGAGATAGCACCTCTGATGCTGGAGCTCCCTGAGCTGCACATCACTCATGGCTGGAAGCACACAGACATCTCTAGGCTACAAGGCTGCTGTGCCATCCATCTCCCACGCTGACAGTGAGCCTCCCCCAGACCCTGCCCTAACCCAACAGGGCCCTTCTGCTGCTGCACCTGTTAGAATGTTGTCACCTGCAAGCTCACCTGCAGCACTGTGCTCTGAAGGATCCTCCTTCTCTGCTCTTCTGCTGTTACCTAAACCCAGCATCCTTCTCATGGAGCCTTTCCTCGTGGATAATTGATAGTTCTGCAGCATGAGCTGAATGGTGAAGCCTTCACTTCAGCACACCACACAGTAGGGATGTGGGATGGCTTACATACATATTTATACGTGCACACGCTCATGCACTCACAAGAACTCCTTTAAATTCTAAAGGAGTTAGAAGTTCTAAAGGAGGAATTCTTTAAATTTACATCCCAGTTAGTAACTGATACAAACATCCTAATAACCTAAACAGCTCTTGATATAAATCATACCCACCACAACTTTATCCAAAGAGAAGTTCAGACTTCTAGCAGATGAATTGGAGTTGTGGCATTTATATGGAAAACATTTATCAAAGTTCAAACAAATAATATTTAAAAGAGTATTTATTGCTTTAATACTTTTCTACCATCTCTTTGATAGCACACATGTATTAATAATTACTGAATGCACTTGAATGTCTGGAGTTGTCTCAAATTGCATTTCCTTGGCTCCATTTTGGGTGGTGAGCACTCACTCGAGGTGAACTCTCCTGAGTCAACCTGCCACTAGCCCAGGGAAAAAACCTTCTCTGCCAAGCTCCTCGGAGTACAGCTATGCAATAGATTTGGTTATTAAACCAAAAAACCCAGTTCTGTTCTAACCTGCATCCCTGCAGGAGATGGGGCTGTCCTGCCCACAACTCACTTTAGTCTTGTGGTGCTAAAATTGGACTAGAAGGGAAGGAAAGTGATTTTACTGAGTGATGCAACTTCCTCCTTGTGGCGACTTTTGTCTTAAAAAGCAGCTTGGAGCTCTTGGGAGCAGCCCAGCAGGAGCTGAGGAGCAGAGCCCCCCAGCAGAGCTCCCACTGCCCAGTGTCCTGCAGGAAGACAGAGCCCTCAGGCCAGTGGCTGAGCCCTGTGGGGGCACAGCTGCCAGGGAGACGCCCTTTGGCAGCTCCACACGGGCTGTGCTTGTCCACACTCACAGCTTTTCCTTCTCTAATGTTTGTACACTCGTGGGCAAGCTTCAAGAGGAGCCTCTGACCTCAGCACAGAATTCCCTCTGAAGAGATTTCCTCCCAGCTGTGCAATCCCAGCTGCTGCTGCCCCAGTGAGCACCCGGGGATACAACGAGCTCGGACACTGGACTGCCCAAGGAGTTTATGCTCATTATTGCGAAGAGGAATTTCACTGAGAGCCCAGGGATCCACAACACAACGGGTATGACAGTGCAGGTGACTCCTCACAGGAACACCACTTGGGCTTTTGTTTGGTTTTTCTTTTCTTAATCATAAAACAAATACGACCTCTTAATTCAGGACCTTAATTTTTCATCTACATTTTCTAACTATGTTCACCTGGAACTTCTGACTCCATGCATCCTCCTTTGAAATCTCTCTTTACAACTGGAGGTTTTAGGTCACTTGAGATGCTCAAACCTGCCTGCACCATGGAAATTAGATTCCCAGCTTGCAGTGGTGATTTGTGAACATTATTGCAGACACAATTCACGTGCTCACATCTCCATGTCCTCTGACTAGAGCACAATTAAAGGATGTGGAAATAAAAATGCCCCCATTATTTCTAGGTCACAGCAGCTGATAGTGGGTCTTTATCAAGATGCTGATAAAACGGATTATCTTGGCAAGCACTTTGCCAAACATAATTATTAATCTATTATAATGATCCAATCTCTTTTAAAAACTCTTAAAACTTTACTAAAGCTGACATGGTATGAACAGTTTTATTTTAATTAACTTGTACAACCATGGTTTGATATTCAGTTTTGTTTACATGGCAGAGTCTGAAGTGACACGAGGGATCATTTTTCCTGCTAGTTCCTACCTCAGACATAAACATGTTCCATTTCCCCCAGAGTTACTGGTGAGGCTTGTCTACAGCAGCTAAATGGTAATTCATCCTTAGTTCAGCCAGCAATTCCAAATCTTGGGCCATAAAGTGTCTTCTTGAGACCAGATCTCCTGCTGCACTTCCACACCTCGCTGGGCACAAGGTGATCCCAGGTGAGGTGTGACACCACCATCCATTCCAAAAACCTCCCAGACCCCAGGATGTGTGTCCAAACCACCCCTTTCCAGGACTAAGCCCTCAGGAAGGTGATTATTTCTCTTTCTGGAGCCCTGGTTACCTGACACAGCCAGGAAATCATCGATGGAGGTGATGTCATCCACGGCATCCGTCAGCACTCGCACTTGCCTCTCCCACTGCTCCTTGAACAGATCCATGTTTTCTTGAGCCAGCTTGCTTTGGGGCTTAGCAGCCAGAGCCAGTGCAGCGTTGATAACCTGTAAAACACCTCTGCATTTTTAAAACATCCCAGAGAAATGCTTACCTCCTGTGTGTTTATCCAATGAACTCAGCAGCAGACAAAGCAAGTTTAGTAAGGAACTTGATGTTTAAACACAGAAGTGTTTAATTTTGTTGCTCTCACATGCAACTCATACCTGCTTCCACGTTTATTATGGATAGTTATTAGAAGCAAAATCACTTGGTAAGTTTTCTCAAGAGCTGGTTTCACCTGTCTTTAGCAGCTTGTAGTAACAAGGTGTTGCTTTCCCAGTGAAGGCTGTGTTGTTAAGTGTTTTAGACAGGATGACATTTAGTACACTTAAGGCTGCATTTGCTAGTTGCCAAAACCTCAGTAAAAAGGTCAAAAAAAGATTAATCTTATACAGACTGAAGTAGAAATGATATGCAAATACAATATTACAGATAAATTTTGATTTATCACTTTTCCTTGAAGCTTTACTCTGGATCTTGCCAGTAATTATTGTAATGACTTCAGATTTCTGCTGTGGCTGTGAACAAGCCAGATTAGCCAGGGAACAGGATCTGCTCCTTCTGAAAACCCTCTCCTAATTTTCTTCAAACCCCAAGACCAGAATTTGCACCATATCCTAGTTTAAATTAGCAGGACAAATGCTATTTAAACAACCACAAAAGCCTCTTTGGATGCGGGAAGAAACCAATCCCAACATCCTGGTCCTGCTCTTGCTGCAGCAGAATGACCTGGAAACGTGCCAGGTGTGAGGAGCCATGGCAGCCAGAGCGTGACAATCCCAGCCCTGTTCCCAAGCACCTGAGAGGCAGAGCTAATTAACTCACAACTTCAAGGTGTCATTTTTCTTCTCTACTTTAGGACTGTATTAATTTCACAAACTTGATGACCAAAACATGCAAGCACCAGATGTTCCCGCTTTTCCAAAATCTACTTTCTCTATCTGCTTCATTTACAAGTGTCACAAAGCATTTAAAAAAATATATAACTCACTAAACATGGAAATGATGGTGATGTCAAACGTACTGGGATGGCACTGAGTGAATCAGGCAGGAGGAGGAGGCTGCTTCCCCCGAGGGATGCCAGGAGTTAGCAGTGACAGGAAAACCCACAGAAGAGCTGGGCTGCTCCTCACGCTGCCTCTGGAGCTGGGGCTGAATGTCTGGGTCACGGTTTGGTGAGTGACAAACACAAGAAGTGACACCTGAGCCTCAGCAGCATCTGCTCAGGGGTCTGTGGGGATGAACACACCTCTGACCCTGGAGGAGCAGCACTGTCCCTGTCCCCACCACCACCAAGGGCTCCTCTGCTGCTCCCCTTCTCCAGCCAGCCCAGGGTCATACCTGTGTGGCACCTGCAGGAGTCAGGATGTCCCTTTGGCATGTCCCTGCTGTCCTGCCACCCTCACACATGGAACTGAAAGTCCTGAAAGCCCCCAAAAAGCCTTTTAACACCCAAGAAAAGGATGTTTAGAATTTTAAAATCAAACAGAAACAGAGATTTTAGAGAGGCAAACCTGCCCTCTGCTCGAGAGCCCTGATTTGCAGTCCAGCCACTGCCACCTCTTCCCCCAGTCTGATGGATGTAATGAATTAACCATCTATCAATCAAAATCTAGATATCCAAGGTTTCATGAAGATGAATCTGAACAAGTGTCCTGGAAACAGGGGAGATAAACCAAACAATGCTCTAGAAATCTGCTCTCACTTTCATCCTGCTAGAAACTGTCGCTACAGAGACAGAGATGGTGGTGAGGCGATACCGAGGGTCAGGACATTTTCTCTGCTTTGCTCAACCTGCCTTGGCCCATATCAGATATAAAATGTCCTGTAAGCACTGAGACAGGGCACTAATGCTGCAGGAACATATGGCCTGGATTCCTGCGAGATGTTTGTCTGGACACAGCAGCTGTCTGGACAATTAATCTGCACCAACAGCGCATGTCAAGCCCAGATGTCCACGTTCAGCACCTCGTCACAGGTAATGGCAGAGCTGTCACACATACAGGGCTCTGCAACTGCTCCACAACCTCAGACTCTGTGTCCTCACCAAATCCAAGTACAGGAGGCACAGGCTGCATCACCCTCCTCTCAACAGGCAGCTTGTTCAAGCAGAAAAAAAAGTATTTTTTTTATACATTACAGCAAAAATGCATGGGCAAGCTGAATGTATTTTATAAAAGTCATCAAGCAAAACCAGTGTTCATCTCCCTTACAGACAGACATTCCTGCAGCAGGGAAGCAGCCAGCAGTGATGGAGATGAGGAAACCTGGTGGGGATATCAAAGGTTTCATGGAGCTAAAGACAAACCTACAGCTCAGGAGAGCCACAGAGGTGTGAGTGTGCCCAGGGAGAAATTCAGGGCAGCAGACACAGCTCAGCACTCCCTTTTTATAGCACACACTCCATATCTCCATGTGCAAAGTGGCCACAACAGGCAGCTTTAGCAGGGGTGATAAAAGCCTTCACTCTGTGGAGAGTTTAGCATTCAGGTGGGCAAATCATCCTGGATGTGTTTCACACCTGTGCCTGAGGAAATGTCCCAGGGATCACTGACAACACCCTGCACACGATCTATTCCAGGGAATACACTCCGGTATCCAGCACAGAGTGATTGATTTATTTTCCAACAGGTGCTTAGAGAGATGTGGGAAAATGACAGGGATGCTGGATCTTAAATAGTCTGTGTATGCAGCAGGACTATGATCCCTTTATTACCTAAAAAGAAACACTTTCAGGGGGAGGAGGAAACACTTTTTTGGGGGAAGGGATGGATGGACCACAATACACTTTTCCTTCTCCAAAACACATAAAGCACTGGGCAATTACTTTAAAATATCAGTAACTCACAGGATGGAGATAGACAGAGTTTAAACCCCAGGAAGATCAGGACCTGAAAATGTAGCCACTTCCATGTGAAACATTTGGCAATTTCAGGGAAATATTTTGTATTTCAGAGCTTTTCAAGATGCTGCCAGAGCACTGTGATCACAATGACTCACTGAAGTTGTACAAAGAAAAGAATCAAACAGGGACATTTTGAGCCTATCCAGAAGGAAATGAAGCATGGCAAGAAAACACACTATTTTTATCGGTGCTTTGTTTCATGTAGCAATTGCAATGTTCGAGTCAGACAGCTCCATGCTCCGGATGGCGCTTCCAGCGCGTTCCTTGGAGCCTCTCCCCTGCACCTCACAGCTTCCCATGGCAGCAGCCAGGGCCTGGCAAGTCCTGGGCAGGCTCAGCATTCCAAAGATTGGAATGGATGTCTCAATATGCACCTTGAGTCCTCTCCTCATCCCTTCCATGAGAAGAAGCTGCTGCTTTTCCCTGGTTTTATGTCCTTGTTTTAAGTAGAGATGTCCCAGCGTGGCTGTGTCCTCTCCCCTTTGAAGGGCAGGGCTGTCCAAGGCTCCCTGCAGCGATTCCTGCCTTGGTTACAACACTGCAGCTGCTTGAGAGCTCCCAAAAATCTCAGCTATTCTGTCCAGAAAACACCTGGACCTCAGGTAAACCTGGGTAAATCACAGCCAGTGGGTCAGCCAGAATTAATTCTTTTAAGCTAAATTTAGGATGGCTTCCAGCCTCAGCTTTATAACACCCCAGTTGGAAGTCAGAGAAGCCAGGAAAGCTCTTCCATGTGGTGCTGTTCTTACAAAGAATAATTCTGAATACTTGGCTGGCATGGCCAGAGAAAGAAACATCACTTGGGAGAGGAAAACTCTGACCCAGCTATTTGCACTGCAATCCCAACCTGTTGTATCCACTCAGCACACACCACATCTGACCCACACCCATTTCAGTGGCTTCAAGCACTTCTTGATTTTTGCCTCAGTCATTTTGATAAGAAGCTCTTGATCCTCCCAAGAGAATGTTCTTCCTGCAGCTGGGTTAGCTTTTCCTTGATTCCTGTAGGATTGATTTTAGGATGTCACTGTGCCCCAACAAGGAGGAGTTTTACAGTTTCAGAAGCTCTGAGGTGAACCCCCAGTCCTCTCCCCTCACTGCACACTATTCCTTTGCAACCAAAACATCTGCAGTTCCTAAATAACTCACTTGGGCTTGGGGTTTATATAAAGACCTCAACTCACCAGATTTCTTGTGGCAGGTGGATAATGAGTTGGGAAATAGCTCTGTGACCTACACATCCAGGATACTTTGCATTTGTAAAAAAGAAAAAGCTAACAAAACAAGCCCCCATCTATCAGCTCTCCTCTCAGGGGCAGAGGAACAAGTGGCACACACAAAGTGCCCCAGCAGGGATGTGAAATCAGTCTTACTCAGGAGTATGTGAAAAGAAGCCCACCAAGCCTCTTTGACCTTGCCCAGGTGGGTTTTGGGCTTTAATCCCATAATTTCCTGTAATAAAGCATGGCTTGCTTCCTGGCAGGTCATGAGAAGCTTCTCATTATTTAACTTTACATACACAAGATGCCAGAGTTGCCTCCAGTGCTCACCCTGCTCATGCCCCTTCCCTGCTTCTCACTGCACTTTGCTCCGAGCGTTAAAAATGGTTTATGAGGAGGACACTGAAGTCACTTCCAGTTCCATCCCAGGCCAGGTCTGCATGCCCACAGCTGTGTGTGCCAGCCCTCCACGCACTCCAGTACAGCAAAAAGCACTCTGCAGGCTCTGCTGAGCTGAAATGCCTGCGAGCAAAACACACAGCAGATTGTTTTACACTCTCAGAAGCTCTAATGGCACTGACCAGCAATGAACAGAGGCTGATGCACCAAAAGAGGAAGGAAAAGTTTCCTTTGATTTCCAACACTTTGTTCCCATGTATAAAAGGCACTTTGAGCACTTTCCTTTCCTGCGAGTTACGCACAGAGTGACTGCAGGGATCTCTGCAGAGATATTTACTTGTCTTGTAAAAAGATCCACACTACTACTGAGTAACTTGGAACCACAGAATGGCGTGGGCTGGAAAGGACCTTAAAGCTCATCCCTTTCCAATGGCAGGGACACCTTTAATTAGACCAAGCTGCTCCAAGCCCTGTCCAGCCT